CAAAATTTTATTTAACTAGTTTATCTTTAGTATTTCCTGTATTTCCTTTAACTTGGAAATTCTGTAAATAATTTTTATCATGAATATCATGAATACACCATGAAGTAAAACTATATGATGGCTATTATTGGTTGTCAACTGACTATATCTGAAGTTAACTAAACCCCATGAGAGGTTTTCCGTGATTAATCACTTGAATTGGGAGGATCCATCTTTAATCTGGTTTGCACCTTATGGTGGCAGCCTATATAAAGAACATCCATGAAAGAAGGACACTTTTTCTCTTCATCTGCTTTCCTTACCTCTCACTTGCAATCCATTCCTTTACTGGCATCAGAGCCTGCTTCTTTGTGATTCTAGTGTATACTCAAGACCAACTGAGCATCCAAACCTTGTAGACTGAAAAACTACTGGATTCTTGGACTTCCTTTTGGTAGACAGCTATTGATGCACTAACTGGACCACAGCCTGCAAGCCATACATATAATTATGTATTATATATACACAAAATTATGTATATTATAATTATGTACATTATTGTATAAATAAATTATATATACTATATGTCATGTAATATATACATACAAATCCCCTTTATATATTATATATTCATATAAATACATATTCAAATAAGTCCTCTTTATACCCCCCCACACACGCATGCACGCACACGTGCGCGTGCGCAATCACTTCATTCTATCTGTTCTCTTCTGGAGAATGTGACTAGTTAATACTAGGTTATTTTATAGCCTATCAAGGGGCATGTGACTGACTTATGTGTCTGGGATGATGCTCATTGTTCCATGATGATCCTGATGAGGGCTGTTATTGAAGGTGCAGGATACCTTCCCTTGGCTAATTTTAATAAATTGTTTTCTAATTATGGCTGATAGAGTTCTTTTCTTCCAGTTTTTTAAAAATCAGTTTCTGTGTATTTTATTTACTCTTTTGTCCACTTTTGTTTCTAAAATTATTCTAAGTTTGGCTGAAAGAAGCTCTCTCTGGCAGAACTGTAGAGCTAGAGGAATCAGCTCTTCCATGTCCCTGCTAATGGAAGAGAAAACTGAGGCTCACCTGTTTGGGACACATTGGCATCGCTAATTAACAGTAGAGGAAGGCTTAGAATCCACATCTTGTGAGCCCTCACCAGTGGTGACCCCACAATTCTAAAGGAGGCTTGGCTTTCAACCCCTTCCTACTAATTTGAAATGTGGATGAAGTTTTGCCATCATACATTTTTTTGCTTATTAAAAGTCACCAGAGAGGTGAATGAGTGGTCAAGGCTACTGACTGCTCTTGGAGAGGATCAGTTTCAGTACTTACGTGGTGGATCACAGCCATCTAATTCCACATCTAGGGTATCCAACACTCTCTTCTGAACTTGCAGGCACCACACATGCATGTGGTGCTCATATATACACAGAGCCAAAATATTATGCATATAGATAAAATTAATCTTTTAAAAAATGAAAGTCACTGTTGGATCATATATAAATCGAGGGATCCATTATGTACTTGATTAGGAACCACTAAAAGCCATTGTATGCTAAGTATGTGATCAGCCTCAGAGGAGAGAACACATTTTGGAGATGTGAAGTATGTGATTCCCTTCTGGTTTACTTCATGCTGAATTGAGTCACTCCACCTCATGTACCCTTCAGACAAACACACAATTCCAGAATGGGTTTCCTCCAGAACTAACCATTCTTATGGCCAGACATGATGGTGCTTATTTCTCATCTCAGCCATGGCTCTCAAGAGGTAGAGGAAGGAGGAATGCCCCAAGTTCAAGTCCAGACTGGTATACTCATTGGGCTACATACAAACCATCAAGACTCCATAGTGAGATTAGATCTCAAGAGGAGACCAAACCAGTATTTGATGACAGGCAAACAAAAGCTTCAGAGGAAATGAGACCAGTGGGAGGGCATTAACACTAACAGAGCCATGATAAGGACTTCACAGAGTCCTTAGTGGAAACTCCCATCTGTAAAAGATACAAAACCCGAAGCTTGCAGTTTAAGTAGCATGATTACACTCTGAGCTCACAAAGACCAAAGGCATCTGCAGAGAGCCCCAGCGCTGGCTACTTCATCACCCACAGCCCTGCAGGTCTGCAAGGCCCTGCCTTCCTCAAGGCAGATACTCAGTACTCAAGACTGTCCAGTTTACGAAACCAAGTACAACAAGGTTAAGACCAATCTGAAAACAGATGGAAAAATAAGGTAGGGTTAGGGTTAGGGTTAGGGTTAGTTAAGATTTGTCATTAGCAGGTACGGTCAACTTCAGGCCACTCTATCATGTGTTTAACATCACATTTTGCAGAAGGTAATGTGAACTCAAGTCCAAAGGATAGTAAAAGCCAAACCTTTATTAATGACTCTACAAGACTAAATGATTGATTAGAACTTCCTGAACGTGACAGCTGGAATGTCATAGATCTAGAGCCAAATTATCTTACAGTGTCTTTAGCTCCCTCAACAGTTACACCTTACTCACCTCCAAGTCTGACCTAACATCCCTACGAGTATCAGGTGAAATCTATTAGGACGTATTAATTTTGTAGATAACTAGCTTCCACTAACCCAAAACACAAATGTTATCAGATAGATCTGAGTCTACAGCAGAGGGTTCCCCACTATTTTGTCACTGGCCCATTTGATGTTCCCACCAATGAATTTGAAAAGTGTCTTGGCTTCTGCCTTTATTCTATTCTGTAGTAACAAATTCTGCATCAAACTCTTTCCACAGTGGAATGCACATGCTACCTGGGGCAACCTGAGTCTGCTCCTGAGAGCTCTCAGCATATATTCTCACATGCCAATCTCAACAAGATCCATTCAGTATAAACTCCCAGTGGCACAGGTCCACACACCCCAATGAGAATATACTCTCAGTGTTGTAGTTCCACACGTGTCAATCAATCAGTTCTGCTCATTGCCATGAATGCACACATGCCAATAAATCAGTTCCTCTTAACATAAACTCCCATGGGTGCAGATCTACATGTACCAACCAGAATACACGTTCAGTGCCACAGATCCACACACACACTGACTGATCGTTTCCTCTTAGCACCATGGGTCCGTACAAGTCAATCAATCATTTCTTCTACTCAGTAAAGAAGGAGAGATGGTACCCAGTGAAAGGTCTTTGCATTATTGGGCTGGTGTCCTTGAAGACCCCTCCCTTTAGGATTCTGACCTTATGACCTGTAATATGATGCTTGGTCATGGCCCCAGAAGGAAGCCAACTACAGTGACTAGTCTGTTAATATTGTTTGTTCAAGTGACCCTTCTTACAAGCACACTAGTGAATGTATCATGATGATTAGATAAGATAGTTGTGTTAGCTGTAAGACATGAGAATGTCCAGCACTAGGTCTGTGGTATACTGTGGCTGAAACCCAGGTTCAGTTCCTTGCACTGTCTAAAACTGGATTTGGAGGCCCACACGTGTAACCCCACCACAGGAGTATCAGAGTAACAGTAGCAGATCATCGTCATCTTCAACTACACATGGAGCTAGAGGCCAGCCTGGAGGACACAGCACCATAGCTCAAAACACATGGACAAATATGAACAAACAAACATGGGCTTGGATGCCAGCCTGGGGCACACAGGACCACACATTGATACACACATGACAAACATGAACAAAGAGACATGCAGTTGGAGACCAGCCTGTAGTACATGAGACCGTGCTTCAACACACATTTACACAGACAAACAGACACAAATACACAAACAAGAATAAACAGATATGTGGAGTTGGAGGCTAGTTAGGGGTACATGAGGCCACATCTTAAAACACATGCAAACACATGAACTAATGAAAGTGTCCCTTATTATTATATATGGTTTCATAAGTCCGCACACATTTAGAGACCATGCCTCATAACCGACACAGCAAAGTCTACACACATTTTTAATACACTCAGAGTCTACACTTCACAGCTGACACAGTTGGTACACTCAGAGTCCACACCTCAACAGCTGACACAGTTGGTACACTCAGAGCCTACACCTCATACCTCACAGTTGATACACTCAGAATCTCTACATCTCAACTGACACAGAAAGTCCTAGTCTACATGTCTCACAGCTGACATACTCAGAGTATACACCTCACAGTTGACACACTCAGAGTCTGCTCCTCACACATCACAGTTGATACACCCAAGGGTCTACACCTCACAGTTGATACACCCAAGTATCTACTCCTTACACCTCACAGTTGATACACCAGAGTCTATGCCTAACAGTTGGCATATCAAGACTTCAGGTTTATCCGTTGGCATTTTTCTCATGGTTTACAGGCCCTTTGCCTGTGCTTCTCACCAGGATACTTGTAAGGATTCTGTCCCCTCCACTCCATTTCCAGATACCGATTTTTAACAAAGTGTAGGACTCAGTATTTGAAACAACTGCCCTAGCAATGCTCATGCAGTGCTTGCAAAGCACACATTTCGAGGTTCCCTAAGTAAACCACAAGGCTTCTGGAAAGATTGGCACGCCAATTTCAATGTTATTTATGAACAGCCTTCCTCTGAGAACAGTAAGCATATTTCTTTCTTGTGCACAATAGGGATGGATTTGTGATTTTTATAGAAACCAGGTGATGTTCCGGCTGGTGGGCTTGTCTCTCAAGTCAGGCAACACTCGTGCTTTTCATTTTAACCACCCCCACCCCGACCAGAGGCTGTGAGGAAGACGGAAACACACAGCAGAATTTTCAGAGGTTGTCAGAATTTGAAAGTGGAGCAGTTTAACTCTTTTATGTTGGCTTCTGTGTTGTGGGTTGAAGCTTTTAGACTAAAACAGATTAAGCTGCACTTAAAAAATATGGAAACATTTTCTATTAATTTCATAGTTTATATTAAATAGTTAATATTTTAAAAAATGAAGATGTGGATGAAAAAGATTCCAGGAGATAAACCAGTTTATTTTAGTAGCTGGCTATTACAATGATGCTTTTTCAACATAATTTTTGCTACACAGGGTGAAAAGTTTGGACCTTTTGCTGGAGAGAAGCGGATGCCTGAAGACTTGGATGAAAATATGGACTACCGACTGATGTGGGAGGTAAGGTATGGCTGTTAAATATCAGGGCTGTGTCTCTGTTTGTATGATACTAAAGTTAGGGCAATGAATCAGTATTGGTCTCAATTGAGCTTTAGGTACTGCAAGGTCTTATTGTTTTTAAAGATTTAATTTTTAAACTGTGCGTCTATGTGCGTGCGTGCGTGAGTGCGTGCGTGCGTGCGTGCGTGCGTGCGTGTGTGTGTGTGTGTGTGTGTGTGTGTGTGTGTGTGTGTGTGTACCAGTGAGTGCAGGTGACTGTAGAGTCCAGAAGAGGATGTTAGATCCCCTGGAGCTGGTGTTACAGGTGGTTCATAAACAGTCTGACCCCTGGCGGAGCAGCGTGGGTGCTTGCTTAGCTGTGGAGTCATCTTTCCATACCTGGAATGTCTTCATTTTGAAGGCCAGCATTAAAAATATTAGACTACTGCAATAGTTGCTAGAGAATTCTTTTAGAACTCTGAAATATAACTGTTGTCACCAGAAATGATAAAGGATGGTTAGATTTCAAAGTAAACAGGCACGGAATTTAGAATTGGGCTTTGTAAGTGAAATTGTGCTTTACCTTTAACCTGTATTTTCCTGTTGCAGTTCTAATTGTATAGAAGTAACTTTGTATTCCTTTTTCAATCCAAACTTCACACTTAAGCTATACTTGCCTTTAGGATGTACATGTAAGGGACTAGGATGTTGTAAACTGTCTTTACTGCTTGAAGTTTCTGTTCTGTAGGATTTGCATATGTGAGTGTGTGTCTTTTTAGCTCTATTGATTAGAAGGGCCTGAGGATCAGAACTAAGGAATCAGGCACTCAGAGACAGTTGAAAGGGGAATTTGAAGACCTCAGCAGCAAGAATTCTATTAGGTGGGTAAGAGCCGAGGCATGTGCCGATGGCTTGAAAGGAAGAGTTGTAAGTCAGAAAATGTGTTTTGTTTTGTATTGCTTTGCTTTTGAGATAGGATTTAAGGCTAGCTTGTAACATATAAAAAGTGATTTATTTCAAGGTTTAAGTCATGTAGTTGTGGGATCTGAAATGTGTAAGTGTTGTGGTTTGAATGAGAATGACCCCATTGGATCAGATGTTTGAATACTTGCTTACCAGTCGGTGCCACTGTTTGGGTTGGTTTAGGGGTGTGGCCTCATGGAGGAAGTCTGTCACTTGGGGTGGAATTTGAGATTTCAAAAGCCATGCACTATTTCCAGCTTACTCTCTGCCTCCTGTTTGTTGTTGTACAAGATGTGAGCTCTCAGTTGTTCCTGTTACCATGGCTGCCATCTGCTGCCAAGATTCCCTGCCATGATGGACTCTTTTCCCTCTAGAACTGTAAGCCCACCCTAAACCCTTCTTTCTGCTAGTTGCCTTGGTCATGGTGTTACATCACAGAAACAGAAAAGAAGCTAACACAGAAGGTGAGACCGACAGGCTGGAAACTCAGATGAAGGTTAATGCTTTGGTCTGCTTCTGGAAACCTGGCATTCTTCTCTTAAAACAATGGACCAGTGGAGTGAGAGTGGGAGGTTATCTCTTTGACATACAGTGAATCTATTGTGCAGAATATCAAGATTAGTGTTTTGTTCATTTGTGTGGTACTGCAGCTTAGCTGGTTGACATGTAAATCCATGATAGCATGTGTCTGCCAGCAAAACGCATGTATGTACATCCTGCTATTACTGACACTGTTGGAGAGGTGTGCAGTAATGTGAAAAAGGATTCCAAAAGGTTTCTGCAGCATAAGGGTCAGGAGCAGAAACTGGCAGCTGGCTACACTGTAATCCAAATGGAAAACGTTATTGATACTGTCATAGTTTAGCAGACTGCTTTAATTGCTTATTTTTATGACTTCTACCATGTTTCCATAGGCAGTTCATCCTTTGCCATGAGGTTTCCCGAAATTGTCATGTGAAAAAGGAACCCCATTCCTCTCCCTCAAGAAAAACCCCATACATTCTTAAAAATAGCAGTATTTAACAAGTTGCTAATAGTTTTTGATATTTGCTGTCCTACCAATCTAGCTAGGCCTCGCATCCATTAATTACTGAGATGAGTGAGGGCGAAAAGCAGAGGAAGATTTTATCAACATGTTGTGAAGAGGGGATATAAAGGAGTTCCATGAACAAGAGTTCATCTTCTCTTTATTGATACGAACTTCAGATTTAGACAGAGGAAGAATGGGGCAGGAGCAAGAAATACCCCTATTTAAGCAGTCTTGGTTATGGTGTGGTTTTGCCCATCATTGCCTCAGCTCAGGTCCTGCAAGGAGGTGCAGCAAATTGTTAAACTGTCAACCATGTCATCCCCGAGAGAACCCAATCTGGCACTATGATCTACTCCAGCATGTAGTCTTGTCTACCATAGATGGTTGTTATCACCTTGGGGTGGTCTGTTCCTGCCATCAAAGATGACTGTGCGTTTGTAGCACTGTGTCTTCAGCCTAAAATGGAAAAGAGACAGGTTAGGCAGACGAATGAACTAGTGATTTTTCATGGTCATGCAGGAGCAAAGAGAAAGAGCTGACAAAACGGAGGCAGAAGTGGAAGGTTTTCACTGTGTTCAGCTACCTGTGGGTCTAAGTGGAGAGTGACTGCTTCCTTTTAGTAAAAACAGCCTTAGAGTAAGAACACTTAAAATTTGACATTCTCTTATTTTCCTAAATCTATCACCTGGCAGAGCAATGATGAAAACCTTCCTCTGTTTTTTTCTTTTTAAGTCCAAGATCATTGGAATTGCCAGAGTCATTAATTATTACTTCCCCCACTACCCATGCATTTTGAAATGCAGCATGTTAAACTGCTTAATTTTACTTATTTTAGTCTGCAGAAAAGAGTCAATATTATTTTATTATTTATTATTATTATTATGGAGTAAATAATGTTTTCAAAATATTCTTGTCCAAATATTTGAGGTTTATGGGTGCTTTTTATAGATTGCTGATTTCCTATAGTGGCGGCATTGTTTTAGAATAATGGCGCCCATCTGATGTGAGCCCTGTGGTGTAACTGGTGGTTTTCCCAATGATAACAGTTGCTTTTGGCCCTTCATTCTCAGCTTCTAGTTAGCACATCCCTTCACAGTGCGGGTGGTCCCTACTTGGTAACTTCCCTCTGCTGTTGGTTCTACTCAATGAACACACAGGAGGCAGATGAAGGGGGGAATGTCTATATTATTAATGAGTAGGTATTAACTTTTAAGTATGTTGCTCCAGAAAAGTTTACTTAGAGCATGTGACTGAGCCCCAGCTGGAGTGGGAATGCTGTACTCTTTCTTACATCTTGGTCTTAGAAAAACCTGTGGCAAGAGTTAAGTCTGCAGAGTGACTCCTGAATGTGTTTCCTAACCATCTTCTTGTAGGCTCAGTCCTAAGCTGTAACTTGATGGAGGGCCATAAGAGAAATGGGGAGGTTTGTTATGTCCCTTACTCTTTAGGAACTACACTCAAGCAAAGCTGGATCCTTGACTATGTCTCAGAAAAGAATTTCAAGACAAAGGGAAGTGTCAGAGTGTTTATTAAGATAAGCAAGATTAAATACTTTAGACTGAAACATGGACATTCAGACAAAGGACATTCTTAGATGCCTCCACAGTGGCTGTGTGGCTTTTAAAGTTAATTAAGAAAGTTTTAAAGTTTAGTTTAAAAAGTACAAGTGGGTTTACTTGCCGGAAAGAACAGTGAGAAAGATCATTCTTAAGGAATGTCTTGTGCATGAAATGGGTTGGTGGTTTTATGAGGTGTTTTCCTTAGCTTTAGGGATGAGAGAGGACACCAGTGCTGTTAAATGCAAGGCCAACAACATTCTGGCTCTGTGTAAGCTAGCATAGTTAGTTGCTTTTAATGTTTCTGAGATGTGTTTTGGAAGATGAGCACTACCCCTTTTTATCAGCTTTGTTAAAATTTTAGACTTGTAGCCTGTCTCATCCTTCCCACATCCCCTCCATTATCCCTATATGTTTTTGTAGAGGGTTGGAGATGTAGTGACAAATCAGACTGCAAGGTTGCTGCTGCTGGAGAAAGGAGTCATAAGGAGATTTAAACTGTAGAGCAGTGCAGTCTAATCCACATCAACAAGTGTCTGCCCCTGACGTACAGCTGGAGTGAGGTAAGAGCAGCACTCTGCTGAGTGAGGTAAGGGAGCGGTGTCCTGACTCTTGATGTCTGGTACAGATTTGGGCCCCAGTGATGAAATGCATGAGATGTGATTGGAACTAACCAACATCTAGAGGACTTAGTGCTTCTGTATTGAAAGAGAAAAATCAAGAGTGACTTTGAGATACCTGTTCTGGGTAGAATGGAGTTCTGATCCTTAGTGATGACTGTTAACGACAGGACCTGACTGGTGCAGGAGGCAAGCTTCTTGACACCCATGAAAGGCCTTTGGGGGCTTATGCTGATTGGGTTAATAGAGCTGGAAAGACTCATCCTAATGATAAGTGTCACCATTGTCTGGGCTTAGTCCTGTAATTCATGGAGAGGAGAGTGGACAAGCCCATTTCTTGCTTCTTGATAGTGGACACCATGTAACTGTTTGTCTCAGGCTCCTGCTGCTCTGACTTCCCTACTGTGATGTTCTAGAACTTTGAACTGTGAGCCAAAACAAACTCTTCTTCCTGTAATTTGCTCTTGGCAGGGCTTTCCATCACAGCAATAGGACCAACAGCCAAACAGTGATGCACTTAACTATAGAGAGCACTTAAAGGACAGAGATGGGATGAGGGAATGCCCTCCATTTCCAATCCTGATGAGATGACTTGTGTTGTCTATGATGTTTACTCCTAGGTCTTTGCACACTATATCTAAAATGTAAGTATCCTTGTATTAATGTTTACTGCATGTTTAATATTTAATAAAGATATTGAAAAAATACATAATCTGTGCTTGTTATTTTGCATTCTTAGTAAATATGTGATTCAGCAGTTAAAAAACAAGTGCATTGATTGCCTCATTGCTTGCTTATGTTGCAGACATCTTTCCTTTTCGTGAAGAGAGAATTAGACTGAAAGTCAGTTTGTTAAGAAGTTGCCTGGTTGGATATTGAAGCAGGCATTTTATTTGTATGCTTTTTATTTTTCATTGACCTTGTCTGCTGGTTACAGCTGCTCTGCTGTTGGGAACTTGACTCAGTACCAGTTTCCCAATGTGTTTTAGTTTTTGGAAAAAAAGTTTTCAACTGTTTCAAATCGTTTATTTTTTTCATTGTTTATAGAAATCCTTTTAGGTGTTTGGAACAAAGAAGGTTTTTTACGAAATGTTTTTCTTTTGCAGATGGTAACATTTTTAGGTTCCAAATGGAACTACTTAGTGGAGACATTAGTGGAAAAATACCACCTATGAAGCCTTCAGAATGCTACAACTGGTGATACAAATGCTGTAATGTAGGACATCCGTACTGACACTGGTCCCTCTACTAGAGAGACAGGCCGGTGAATATTAGTGCCTTCTGGACATTTTGCATTACCCAAGGCTGGGCTTTGTCAACTCTTGCACATTGGCTCTTAAGTCTTTTCAACTAAACCTCACATAGGGTTAGAAGAGTATCGAAGGGGCTGCATTGTATGATTGAAACAAACAAGTAAACAGGTTTCTTGATTTGGGGAGTACACCTGCGATCGTTGTGGTCCGATCCTGACTTATGCACTACAGGCATTTTATTTGACGGAAGCAGTTGTTTGTAATTATAACAACCTTCAACTTGTTAAATAACAAAGAAGACCATGTTGTCAAAAAGAAAAAAAAAACAGTTATTGAGGCCACTGCAGGCATGATTGTCAGTCAGCTCAGGGATGATGTCAATTTCCTCCAATCTCACTTTCTCCTTGGTAGTGGCTTAGCCTCACTGCTGGCAGATAGCACAGAGGATTTTATGTTCATGTCAATATACTACATGACACACTTATCTGAGGAATTTCCTAAGCACATTAAGACATTTTGGTAAAAAATTAGTTAACTCCATAAGAAATGGTTTAGAGAAAATATTTCAGATTAGTAAGCAGTCCTTTCATGGAAGAATGTATGCATTTAGGGAAGTAAGAACTGTAACAGTATACTAAAATTGAGGGGTTGGTATCAGTTTTACTATTTAATGTAGAAGTAGCATCAAAAAACAGCCCCTTATCTTTCATGAATTTGGAGGTATCTCCATGTGGACTGCCACGCTTGGTACCAGCATGAGATACACTTTGGCTCCCTTTAACCACTTTAGCATCAGGCTTTGATTACAGTTGCCTTTCAAGAGCCTTAGTCTCTCTTTCACAAGTGAGAAGCAAGTCTGGATGGGATCTTGCCTGAGGGCTCCCTCCCTTTATTTCAGTATCTGGGCTCTTCCAAATGTGTTGATCTAACAATTATGGCCTCAATTGTCATCCCTGAGAATGTACAAGCAATACTAGATAAACTGAGAAGATTATATTTAGGAATATGTAATTATATACATATATGCATGCAATAATAGTTAATGAAAAAAAGATGCCATTAATTTGAAAGACAACAAGGAGGAGTCTGGGAGAGTTTGCAGGGAGAAAAGAAAAGAGAGAAAGTAATCATATTATAATTGCAGAAAAGTAACCTCTCTTAAAGCATAACATTGGCTGTAACATTTAGGTTGTCAGTGTTTGTTTTCTCCATTTTATATTTCTTGGTTCCCTGTTTACTCTTTTTCATTGTAGAGTTACATAAGAGTGATGATTAGTAACACACAGCAGAGTCAGTGTTATGCTATCTTAAAATCTCCTCCATCATGGATATCACAAATAAAGAATTCAATTCTTTAAAAAAAAATCTCCTCCATCAGAGATATTAGTCCAGTACTTTTAAACTTAATATCTGGGAAGGTTTTAGGACACAAGCAGAAATGTAAATGGAGGTTTCTCATTCTACTCTCCAGTTCCCAAATAACCATTCTATAGTTTAATATTAATTATAATTGCTTGTCCAATGGCTTAGGCATATTACTAACTCTCACAATTAAATTAGCCCACTTTTACTAATCTGTATCACCACATGGATGTGCCCACCAGCAGTGTGCCCTGATACCTTATTCCTTTGGTGGCTATATGGTATCTCCCTGATTCCTCCTTCTTTCTCTCCTTGTTTCTGTTTGGATTTCCTGCCTGGCTCTGTTCTGCCTGACCAGTGGCCAAAACAGCTTTATAATGGGGAATATCCTTCTGTATATGTGTTTCTCTTATTGGTTGATGAATAAAACACTGATTAACCAGTAACCAGGCAGTATAGGTGGGACTACCAGAAGAGAATTCTGGGGAGATGATGCAGAGAGAAGTTGCCAGGGAGAAGCCATCTAGCTGCTGAAGGAGTAACAGGTCTTGGCATTCTCCAATAAGATAAGGCCATGTAGAAATACACAGATTAATAGTTATGGGTTAATAATTAAGAGAGAGCTAGCCAATAATAAACCTAAGCCATCTGCCAAAGAGTTTGTAATTAATATAAGTCTCTGTGTGCTTATTTGGGCCTGAAGGTGAAGGGTGGAGAGACCAGGCTGGACAGAAACTCTGATTACAGCTTTATTCATCAACCAGTAAAATCAACACATATTCACAGTATACAAAAGGGCATCCCACATCGCCTTCCCTTTTCTGTCTCATTAAAAATGAAGGTTTTTAACTTTAACATAGTAAAATTGCATATAACAAAGCAGTTACCAAGCAAGAATTACAGTTACAATATTAGTTTTATCTGTAGTTCACAAAATTAAAGAAAATACTCTGTTATCTATCCTATCTTTGTGAGTCTAAAGTTCTATATCTTATATATCTATATATATAATTTATTATATCATAACTAAGGAAAACTATAATTTTAAGTATCTAGTCTTCAACTCCATCAAAGACTGCAGAAGAATATAATATGTCCTAAGTAAACAGGAAATAGATTGTAAGCAACTTCCAAAACACCAGAAATTACAGAGTTATCTGGCTGCCTGGACAGTTGCCAAAAGTTCTATTGTAACACAGGGGCATCCATCTTCAGCCTGTAGGCCTAGAGTGTCTGACAGTGTTTTTCAATGAAGCAGGAAATCTGAAGAACTGTTCCATCTTGTTTTGGCAAGTTCAGCAGTTACTTTTGTGTATATCCTGCTTGTCCAGTTTATACACCTTATTGTCAAGCAGTTCCGTTGAAAAACATCTTCTTGCCCAAAGGGCTAGCCTTGCCACATCGTAGGCAAACTCCATAAGGAGCTTGTTCGTTAACCATCATCCTTTTGAAGTAATTGATGATGTCAGGAGAAAATTTGTCTCACTGTTGATCTAAGTCTAAGTTCTTAAAATATTTTAAATGTCATATTCTGTAGGTTTTTGAAGTGTTTGAAGATTACCTGTCCATCTGAAATATATCTTTGTATATCTAGAAAACCTAACCAACATGCCTACACATGTGGGAACAACAGACCTTGGCCGGAAACCCACTCCTCCATCAGCCTGGGAGCAGGCAGCTGTGAGACAAACTTTACTGAAAACATGTTTACTGAAAACAATCCAGTGCCCTAAGAAATGTTTACTGGAGCCCTAAGTTCCTGATAAGGGCTCGATAAGGGCTGGCTCACTGAAACACCCTGACTTTGATCTTCCCAATGGCTAGCCACTTCTTCCTGCCCCCTGCTGTCACCGATTCTGGTGTCAGGGATTTAACCACCAGCCAGGAAGAGGAAGAGAGATGTGTGTGCATGTGTGGGTGTATGTATGGCAGAAGCTTTTCTGGAGGGAAGCGAATTCTTGGGAAGTTCTCCTGAGCCTTCTTGGGGAGCATAAAGATTTCTCAATCCCGACACCCTTGACACATTCTCGGATACAGGCTGCACAGTGGGCGCGGCATATACATTTGACTATTATAATGACTATTAATTTGTATTTCAGACTATACATTTTTAAATGAGTTGCATAAACACAATACCTTAGGCAAATGTAGAAATATACATATAGTATAACAAAATTGAGCTTGAATTTGTACCAATAAATCAAAATCCATAGCAATGTAAAGAATCTTGAAATTAACAGTTGGTTTTTGGATTAAAGTAGATTCAATACTCTACCCCTTTTTATTATCATAACAATCTACCTTTTCCTCTATCATTTCTATGTCATATCTCCTGTTTTACTTTAGAAAGAGATTGATTATGACTATTAACCATTTGTAACCAACCCCCCTTAAATAAAAACAAACATTTATAAAAACTTATTGTGGGAGTTTAGGCATAGTTTTTTATACACTTCCTGCTGATTGGAGGCACAGGTAATCTTATGGGAATCCGGAGAAAATTTAGAATTATGGTTAAATATTGGCTGTACTAGTCTTTGAGGCTGCATCATCTCAGTTGGTTGTCTTAATGTTGCTTTGAATGTTGGATAACCTGGGCCATTGCTCTCATAGGAGACCTTACAGGGGATCTTACTTGATCAAACCATATTTGCCTGGAAGGAATCCACAGCTTTTCATCTGTGAAAACAAAAGCAGAACCTCTTTTCTAAAGCAGTATAGCCTTAGAACAAAATTTTGAAGTCAAGATATCTTTAAAATACATATGTTGGTTTAGCTTAGCAGTCCCCACAACCAAATGTCTGTCTGCTGTTAGCTCATTAACAGTCAAAAAATTAAAAGAAACCACCATAGTATAATCCATGGCCCATTATAATTTTCTTTTATTTTATTTGTCCTTTAAGAATGTCAGTTTATTTAAATTATTTTTTATCTATGACTCTGTCTATCTGCATCACAGAAAGACTTTTTTCCCCAAAGTATCACAGGATATATTAACAACCAGTTGTTAATATTGTTAATAGTCTTAA